CCCATATATTTGAAGAGGTTTTCCACACTATTATGGTTTAATCTTAACTACATGAAATTAATTCACTGTCATTTTTACTCAATAAGATTTAAGGAACATATCCCTTATGAACATCCATAATTTGAGTGTATTTCCATAAATCATTATGTTTTCTCCAAATTATGATTTTCTTATCTTCCCAACTACCTCCAGATATAAATAGATCTTAATTCAAACTAAAAGTCAAAGAAATAACATCATCATTATGTCCAGTTAAAGTTTAATTCTCAGTTACTTTTCCATCATTGAAATTCCATACTCTTATATTAGAGTTGCTTCCTGCTAACATTATACTATCATCTTTATTAAAAGTAATAACTCTGCAAACTTCATATCATTTAATATCGTAAATATTTTTAGTTTCTGTATATTAATAGTACGATCTATGAGATAGATATATATCTTTAAAATTCTCAACCTTTTCCTTGGCTGATTATTGTTATTTAACTAATTGTATAACAGAGTTTTATTATTCATTCATTATCTATATTGTCAAATTTATTATAAGCTTCAATCCCTTATATAACTCTACATCTCTTTTGGATTGTTTCATTATTGGAGTCTTTTCACTCATTAATTCAGCCATCTCTTATAGAATGGACAATGAAATACTCTCACCAAAAACTTGCAAAGATTTAATTTTTTGATTTTTATCATAATTTATTCCTCTGATTAAATAATCTATTTCATTTATTAAGTGCTCACAATTTTAATCGAATGATTTTTAAGTTTATCTCATCTACTCTTAAAATAATTTGAGTGGATTAAGGTAACCTTAGAATTCGTTCTAAATTTATTGAATTTCATCTTGAGTTTTTTAGATCCATTTAGAAAAAGCTTATTCTATGTGAGTCGGATTTATTAGTTAGCATTTACAACATTTCGCTCTATCTCCTTTTAAAATATTTTGCCTTAGATCTAAAAATTATACTTATTCAAAGTGTTCTAAACATTGAACATTAGTGATTTTTTACATCAAATTTATCATTAAAATTATATTTTAAATTTAATATAACTAAGTTTGGAATTAGTGCATTTATATTCATATAATATATTTTCTTGTCTCTCATCGAAATACTAATTACAGTAGAAGACAAACCAGTAATGAATAAAATGTATCCAATAAATTTATGCATGGAGTAATTTCTATACTGTGAGTTAATCAAATAATAGATCCTTCATAATATTATTCCTAGCTTTCAATTAATAATGTTTTAAGTTATTATGGTTATTAAGTAAAAAAAAAATATTAATATTGCAATTTTAATATAATTAAGAAGGCGGACAATTTTAGTTTCTTTGATTGTAGTATAGTATGTATTTTATCAAGATCTTCCTTAATAATTACTCAATTTCCTTAAAAAAAAAGTTAAGTCTTCTTATGTTAAGATAGTTAATATAAAATTTAAAAGAATTCTAAAACTTGATAAATAGAATTAAAAACATTTTAATTTGATATATATGCTGAATTCACTAACTCTATATAAATCCGAGTTAAATACTTTAATATATATAAGTAAAGAGACTGGCATAATGAAAAATCAATCGCTTTTCATATTGAGGAAATTTGTCTTAAATTTATTATTGTAATTTTGGATCTGCAATTCTCTTTTAATATTTCACAAAAATTACTCAATTAATTTTCATTAAGTATAATCAATTAAGAAAATAAGATGTAATATATAATTATAAACTCTTATTTATATCTTAATAAAATTCAATTCTTAATAATTTAAGTTCTGATTTATATTTGTAAAGAGGTATAATCCCATGTTACTAATAGCCTTCCATCATCACTAAGCGTACCATAAATATATCCCCAATAACCTTTTTAATTAAGCTCTATTGATGATTCTAATGAGCACTAAAATTCTTAAGATTCATTTTGAGAACAATAAAACCTTATTAAATTTATATGGTAGCCATTCTTAGAAACAAGTAAATTTTGCGACTTAATATAGCTAGAAGGAAAGTAAGGAGAGCAAGAACTATTTCCTCCTTGAACTGGAATTTCCCTAATTTTTTCAAATTTCTAAGTTGCTTCTTTAAATTTATATAATTGTAAGCTAGCTTCGAATGGTTGATAGGCAAACAAATTTTAATTAATAAAACAAATTCTAAATCCAATGTTTTGAACTGATATCTTTTATTTCAAACC